AAAAAATCATACCATCCGGTCTTACAACGGATTATAATAGGTTTCAGTAGATAATCGTAATTGTAGATTTTCGTAGTGGGATTATTGACATGCAATAGACATTAGGACTATCAGATTCGCTTTGTTCGGTATAGCCTTCTCCACGATATGCAGAGAATATAAAATTTACCATTAAGGCAGCTGTGATCTTGACAGTAGGATCCATTGGTCCGAGTTGATATGATTTTCGTGATGAGCAAGTCAAATGATACCAATAATTATTTTCAGAGTAATCCGTTATCTAACACCTTAAACCTACTACTATCCTACAGGAATGAATCCTTGGCAGAATGATTCCCTTAGTTAGCATATCAAATAACCCACTAAATCTTAGGGGATAGACGATCGGCACGTTGCATGAAGGGCTGCTACACCTGTCATCACCTTTTCACTTTTTTTTTTGTTTTTGGAAACTTACTTCAAACTTTTTTTTTGTACGATGCTCAGAGTTCAACCTAACAGTTATACTCCCAAAAAAGGACATCTCCTCATTGTACAGTCTCCGATTTTTTCCAATCATGAAACACAGCCATAAGCTCTCATAATGCTGCATTAGCGAGACAATGCGAATAGTTTGATCAGGTGGATTGGAGGTTTTCACACATAAATGTTGAGCTCTCATAAACAAAATGGTGATGTTGGTGTTTCTCGTCTTTCTGTTCCTTTCTTTTGCTTGCGCAGGTAACTTGCATCAATTTTGGCTTTTTTTATTGTTAATGAAAACGTAGAAGTCCCATTTTTCCTTTAGACTGGACATCAGAGCCTTTTTGCATTTTGAAAAACATTGAAAATTGTCCAACAGGATTTACTTTCGAAGAACTGAAACTTTCACTACAAACAGACGTGGCTCCAAATGTGGGTGATATCAAACTTTAAAGACTATGTTCTACACATTTTCGTAAGTTCAGGTCAGAGGTCATGACGGAACGAATTTGATGCATCTCGGGTTTGCTGGCGACTCTAAATTACAATATGATGCTTATGATGCTGTCTATT